TGCTGATATAAATGTTAGAATCACAGTTCCCAGAATGACAAGTGGTGCTACATTTCTCTCTCTCTCACCAAACACAGGTTCTGAGAAAGAGACACACCAAAAACACAGCCCTCAGGCGCAGCAAGAGGCGCTGGGCCCCGATTCCGTGCTCCCTGATGGAGAACTCATTAGGCCCATTCCCACAGCACGTCCAGCAGGTACCTTGCATATTGTTTGATTTGACACGTTGGAGGGTTTTTGTTTGTTTGCTTTTACATTTCCCGTTTGAATTGTGCAGTAACTGAACTTATTGGTACTAATAAGGATCATCTATTTACCAGAGTAAGGGCCTGTGGAAGTGAGGCAGTGTAATTTGTTGCTTTCCTCCAGAAACTGTAGTTAGCACTTAGAACGTTTCGTATTTTGAGTTTCTGGGGCTCTTAGGCCTATACCCAGATTTTCCTAAATACCCTACCATCCTAGCACTCACGTGCAGAGGGCATGCTTACCCATTTTGCATAATTTAACTTTCCATTTCTCATGTAAGCTTTCCAAAAAAGAGTCCAATATTTCTGTTTACCGCAAAGGTAGCGTCACCGCCCCATAGCTGGTGTGTAAATCTAGGCCAGCTTTAAAACTATTGAAGAATTAATTGTGGGAAGAAACTTGTAGTATTTTTCCCTTATTTAATCACAAAGTTTTTCAAAATTACCAAAACTATTACTGTCATTTATATAGGAATAGGGACAAGTGGATAAGAATTATAAAAGTATATTTAACTCCATGAATTTTCCTTAAGTATGCAGATAACACAAAAGAATTTGGGATGAAGTTAGTGAGAGAGTTTGTGGCTTTGTACATTCAGAATATGAATAAGAATTTTAAAAACGTGGGGCGTACTGGGTAGATAAACGGAGGAAAGAAAGAATAGATTAGTAGGAAAGAAAGCAGGTGATAAACAAATCAACCATGACAAGATTTTAGGTTGAAGATATTTTTTATCCTAAATTGTCACTCGTTGCTGTAGGTCCAATCTGATGCCGCACAGAACTACACCATCTTTTACTCGATAAGTGGCCCAGGAGTGGACAAAGAGCCCTTCAATTTGTTCTTCATAAATAAAGACACTGGGGATATCTTTTGTACACGAAGCATAGATCGTGAACAATATCAAGAGTTCCCGGTAAGATTATTAGATTACTTTTTTTTTTGAGGTTGTTATTTATATATTTGTTCATAATTGTTTTGTTTTAACTTTTTATTGATTAAGTTATGACATATGTGTCCTTAAGAATTATGTTGTTTATGACGGCTTTAATATTTTCAGCATTGTTTATGTATTAGAAGAATCAATAATTTGATTTCATATTTTTTATAGATAATGTGTAATATAAACTTCAAATTTCTATTGATGCCATTGATGAAGAAAGACAATGGATATGTATTCTTCCCTATAGAGTTTGTGGCTTTGTACATTCAGAATATGAATAAGAATTTAAAAATCATGGGACATATTGGGTAGAAAAGGGCAGACAAGTGGGGGGAGAACTATAGAAAATATGACAGAATTTTAAAGGACAGGTTTTGATCTAGGGAATCCGAGGACAACAGCAGTTAATTTTATTGAGTTCAAAGTTCCCTACAATAACATAGTTGAATTATTCTCAACCCTGCCTGTACTTTATAAATGACATGAGAACTTAAAAAAAAATTATGCTGCTCTGGCCTATCCCCAGAAATTCTGATTTAATCGTTCTGAGATGGGGCCCAGCCACAGAGAAGATAGATGATAGGGACATAGAAATGCCATAAATGCTAGAATTTGGCAACTGACTAAAAAGGCTAATGAAAGAAAGGGAGGAGTTATGTACCTGGAATTTTAATTCTGGTTCATTTTAGAAGATGGTTACAGTAGGGAAATCAGGGAGAGCTAGTTGCATGGAGAAGAACTGAGTTAACATAGATTTCATTTTGGGCAGGTTTAGTTGGTTCTATCAGTGAAGAAAACCTATTGAACTCAAGAACCATTCATTGACCACTTAACCATGCACAAACCACATAAAAGTACAGAAATAATTTGATGGTGTTTAAAGGGAAAGGACATTAAATGCTGGCATTTTCTGCCAAGGTATATCATTTTGAGTTGTGTATGTATTTATTGGCATTTTTATTACATACGAAATGCATGTTTTTGGTAGAAAAATGAGAAAATTCAAGTAAATAGAGAAAAAAATAATTGAGTCACCCAGAGATAGTTGATATATCAACTGCAAGTAAATAGAATTGTTTTTTTATAAACTTAAAAAAAACTTGTTATTAGCATAACTGGGGGAAGTCTACATGCATTCTACTGAGAAGAACAGCATGCAGTTAGCTCAGGGAATGGACCGCCTCACTCAGCTGGCGTGCATGGCACTGGGAGAAGAATGAGTGTTGAGGGAAGATTGAAGCCATACAGCTGGCCTAGACCGTGCTGGAGTGCTGTCTCTCCGTGGCCTAAGTTCTTAGTTACATACACCTTCTAGACATGTTGTCTTTCCCCAGCGGCCAGGTTTAATTCTGTGCATATGTGTTATGTAAGAGTGAGCTGTTGGTGTCTGTCTGCCTTCCAGGTGTATGCCTACGCCACCACCGCCGATGGGTACGCACCCGAGTACCCACTCCCCTTACTGTTCAAGGTTGAAGATGATAATGATAATGCCCCGTATTTTGAAAACAAAGTGACTGTCTTCACTGTGCCGGAAAATTGCAGAACTGGTAAGTTCACAGTTTAGGAACACACTATAGATTTTTTGCTCCAATTGAGTAACTCATTACTGTTTTAAGCAGTTTATGCTAAACATGTTTCAACGCTTGCCTTTCAAGGATATTCCACATAAAACTTTGTAGTCTGATGAGATCATATCCTCCCCCAATGCAAACCTGTTGGTGCTCATTTTGCTATGCACATATAGGAGGCAGCTAATGCATAAAGTCACTAACTTTGTTAGGTTAATCCACAATGAATATGAATGTGTGACAAATGCTGTTTATATTTTCTAATTTGACCTGGTACATATCAGTCACAGGTGTATGTATAAAGCAGAATCATTTGAATATTTATAAAGTCTCGCTACATTTTTAAGGACCTAGAAATATATTATGGGATGGAACGGCGAGTCTGACTTATAACAGTATACATTGCTTTACTGGGCATATTTTCAGACAGAATGAAAAGAATAACCTAAACTTGTTTGGTGCTCTGGGCTGCCCAAACTGTGATCTGGGTACACGCAGGGGCCTGCCAAGACTGACTCGTTTTTAAAAAACCTGCAAGAAATGTTGTTCTTAGCTCCTCTAGTCTGTTGCCATTGCATGTGTATATTTAATATTATTCTCCTCAAATAAGCGGCTTGTTACAGCCACATTCAGTACACTGGTTTCTGGGCCACAGAGCTCAGCCCGAGGCAAAATGTCTGTGTCTAACATTGATTAATAATTACTTGCATATATTAATAATTCAGCATATTTATTAAAATATAAAAGCATAACATCTTTATCATATGCAAAGCTGTACTATTCCTCTAATTAACATCATCAGGTTGAACTATAAAGGAAACAAGGTATACAGAGACGGTCCCATCCAAAAGTGGCCTGTGAACGGGGGGCGGGGGTTGGAGAACCACTGTTACCAAGGGTGGGGTGAATGTTCTCCTAGATCTAGCCCACAAATCATGTTATTCATTGCAGTCCCTTAGCTGAACGTTCAAAGTCAGGGAAGCTCAGAGTTGTGTTTGTTTTTTTAAATATATTTTATTGATTTTTACAGAGAGGAAGGGAGAGGGATAGAGAGTTAGAAACATCGATGAGAGAAACATCGATCAGCCGCCTCCTGCACACTCCCTACTGGGGATGTGGCCACAACCCAGGTACATGCCCTTGACCGGAATCGAACCCGGGACCCTTCAGTCTGCAGTCCGACGCTCTATCCACTGAGCCAAACCGGTCAGGGCAGGGAAGCTCAGAGTTTTGGAGAGCACTTACACTCTTCCACTTACCGATAAAAGATACACTTGTGGTTTGGGGGAGAACATGCTACAGCAATGCCCTGCTTTTCCTGTTGTTTGTAACGCTGCTATTTAAGTTATTGACAAATCGGACTTCTTTAAACAGGGACTTCTGTGGGGAAGGTGACTGCCATCGACCTCGACGAACCTGACACCCTCCACACTCGTCTGAAATTTAAAATCTTACAGCAAATCCCGGACCAGCCCAGGCATTTCTCCATCCACCCAGACACGGGCGTCATCACCACAACCTCACTCTTACTGGACAGAGAAGTAATGAATCGATTACTTTCCCGGTCACTAGCCTATATTCAAACTGATAATGAGCCCCCGGAGGAATTACATAGGCCCCGGGCCGCTCTCCAAGCATGCTTCCCAACAGGCCTCCGCTAGGTTAGGGCTCCTCCGCTCGCTTCCTTCGTCTGTGCAGAGGATTTGGGGAGGGACAGAGTGTGAGATGGGGTCTCACCTGAGGTTACTGGCTTGACTGGATGCCGACATAGAAAAAAATGACTTTTAAAAAGTTTTGAAAGGTTATCAGCCTCCCACTGTTCTGACTGACCAATCTCTCTCTCTACTTTTAGTTTTGCTCATTTTTTTTTAGGGGGAGGGGATGTTCATCAATGTTCCTTTTCCCTTTTTTCAGAAATGTGATACATACCAGTTAATAATGGAGGTTCGAGACATGGGAGGCCAACATTTTGGTTTGTTTAATACAGGAACAATCACTATTTCACTCGAAGATGAAAACGATAATTCACCGTATTTTACAGAAAATGCTGTGAGTATATCTCTGTATTCACTTATCTAAGTTCATTCACCTCTTCAAAAAACAAATCTGGAATGTGGTAGCTCTGTGAGAGTACAATTTTGGTTTTAATAGCTACCACTTCAAAATAAATAGGCAAACATAATAGGATTTCTTTAAAAATCACTGAAGTGCCTGCCAGTTTTTCAGGATAGAGGGAAATGACTGTTTCCTTGGCCACATGAAAGCTGCTTGGCCCCTGAAGCCGTTCATGTATGTAGTGTGTTCTTGGATGCCATGCTGTGGCATCAGATTCCTTTGGATTTAAATACCTCTCATAGGATGAAGGAGAAGAGGCCCTCTCTCTGTGTCACTTATATTTCAACATCTTAGGGATAAAAAAAGACGCACTGCATCCCTTTGCTCTGCTGGGGAGTCAGTAGTCTCTGGGCAGGCCCCTCACACGTCAGGTGTGGAGCGAACTTTCCCCTCAGCACTACACAAAACAGGAAGCATAGATAGGAGGAACATTCCAGGAAATACTTCTTCTTTCTGGTCCTTTTAGAAAGTGGTCTTCATTTTTTCATTAATGAATATCAGAGTACAAATCAAAGAAGGGAATACCCGCAGTGATGAGCCATCCATACAGTTGTCTTACATTAATTGCTGTAACTTGTAAGGATAGGACTGATTCCACATTTCTTATGAGAGAATGGAAGGCCAGTTAAGTGATGTGCTTCTGATCTCATTCATATAAACCAAGTGAGAGGATGTGGTATGTGTGTTCCCCCACGTCCTGCATGGTTCAGGGTTCAGGATCTGGGAGAGGAGCCACACACAAATGAAAGAGAAGAGACAAGAAATAATAATTTGGAAATATTGGGGGGCCAGGCGGGAAAGCCCAATGCAAGAGAAAGTACTTCCACTGGTGCCCAGGCCTTACCAACCTTTTATTCAAGGCTGCATGCATCTCCCCCGTCACTTTTCCTTAATAATGCTTGAAAGGTGACTGCTGCCTGAAGGGTTCGAGTCCTTTTAAGACTCTTCATTCCGCATCTGCAGACTAGAAACAAGCATATGAGAACAAAAATTAGATAAGCAATAGTGGTTATGCTGACAGGCAGATGAATCAGTCTGAAGTAAGTTTCTTTCTGAGCCAACAGTTCTTTGAGTCCCAATTTCAATGCCCAACAGTTCATGTGTCCGTGCCAGCACTGATCTGCTAGTTCTGGATGGAGGGCAAACGTGGCAGTGCAGGTCCGACCTTCTCTGGTTTGGTCCTGGGCAACCTGCAGCGACGCACAGCTGCCGACTGCTAGCGTGGCAAGGCGTCTTCACCAGCTCCACCTCTGAATGTCTCTCTCCTTGTCTTCATGTGTTGTCAGTTCCTCTCTCAGATTCATGGCCGCAGGAATCCACACGGGCTTGGAGAGATTTTCTGGAAATACACAAACATATTATCAGCCAAAGGTTAATAAGGAAGTCTTTACTTAAAATTAGACTTGGGATTCTTTCTTTTCGTTGTGCCCAAACCGTTCTCCTTCGGCTTAGACACCACGTGTGTTTTCATGGGTGTCTTGTCCTCAGCATTACAAGTGAAAAATTAATTTTTAAAGTAAAATTTTCTTGATGTAATTTACTCACAGGGGATTATTCCACTATCCCCCTTCCTTTTTAATTTAAATGATATTAAGAGGCTTTTGGAAATTTTGCAATGCAGTCTTGATAATTTTTTATTTTAATTTTATGCACAAAAATATGACTACTTTGGATTCATTGCATGTTAAGCAGTTTTTGAACTATGAGATAAACCATTTGTTAAAAAAATAGTTAATACTTCAGGAACAGTTTCCTGCCCAGTACAACAAAGTTTTTATGAATATTCATTTATTTTAACTAGCCAATTTAAATCAATCTGAAATAAGGTTTATTTTTTTTCCAACTTGTCCTTGGTTATAGAATGTAAATGACATTAATTAAATTTTTGCTATTAATTTTTGAATAACTTCACATAAGTGTTCTCAGGGAGGCAAAAACACAAATTACTTACTTTTACTTCTGAAGCCTAACACGCCCGCAGGAGGAAAACTGGCGTTAGACTCAAGATCTGTTTTGCTTCTAGAGCTCTGGGCTGACCTCCTTCTCTGAGTTCACCCTGCATCTCTAGCCGACTCTGATTTACTGCTATTTTAGTCTCAGATGCTTCCATAACCTTACTTATTTTTTGGAGGTGGGAAGAAACTCTGATTTAATTTCTAAAAAAAAAGAAAAAAAGAAAAACTATTTTCTTAAAGTGTTTGCCAGTGAATCAAAAGTAAATTTTTAAATAATTGGCATAATAAACAGATCACCTAGTAAAAATAAGAAATCAATGTAGGATATAATAATCTATAAATATTGAAGGCTAAATATATAACTATAAAGCATTTATTAACTGCTTGCTATATCTGAAAGCATTTATTAGCTGCTTGCTATATCTGAACTGTAAATGTTATAGATTCAGAATAGAGACAAATATGAGTAGGAAAATTGCCTCAGAGAAGTAGGAAAGTTAAGGTATAAGTTAGTCTTTCCAGGGTCAATAAGATTTGAAAAAATAGTGAGGAAAGAAGTAAACTATAATTCTTCCCAATATGTGATTGCACATTTCCATATTACTTTGCTTTCTTTTACTCTAAATATAAGTTTTAGAGGAGAAAATCATATTGTTAAAGCAATACATTTATAATAACAGCCGGCAACTTGTTTAGTATTTTGCAGAAGTAGAAGAAAACAGAATTGACGTTGAGATTTTACGAATGAAGGTTCATGACCTGGACCTGCCAAACACCGCTCACTCAAAGGCTGTGTACACAATCCTACAGGGAAATGAGAACGGAAACTTCAAAATCAGCACAGACCCAAATACAAATGAAGGAGTCTTGTGTGTTGTCAAGGTAAACAAACAAAAGATAATAATCTAGCAATACTTTAATCGGTGTCTATCAATAGATATATAAAATTCTAACTTAATTGATGTATAGGCATATATATATACACGTTTCTGTGTCACATGACTAGAGAATGACAATGCAATGCTGCAATGATTACAGTGGTTTAAACAATTATTGTTGTTGTTGTTATTATTATTATTATTTCACCCTCATTTTCTCTCTTAGAGGAAGGGCATAGCAGGCTCAGAACTCACTGTTCCACAGATGAGCGAGCCACGGCGGAGAGATGTTGGCTTAGTAACCAGATATGAGCTTTGGAAGCACTCTTTGACACCTGTTTGTCCAAATATTCCTTGTCTTTTTTTTTGGGGGGGGGGGTGGAGGAGAACTTCCAGATTTCTATCTATTGTTTTCTTTTTCTGTTATCTTGATAGATTTCAGTCTCTAATTATTTAACTATTGTTCTGGATTCTTTCTAATGATTCAGTTCAGGACCAAGCATTTTGTTTAAGAACTAAGCAAACCAAATATAATGTGCTTTGAAAGTTGCTGCTAAATAATATAATTATGTCTTTTAACTCATTTACTCAGATAACTGCACCACTATAGCCAAATCTCATATGCTAGCAGTCTATCTATTTTATATACTTAGCTTGAAGGGACTTTTGCTGTTTTGGTTATCACTGTTATGCCATCTGATAAGTAATGAAATAAATGGTAATCTATTTGAATTTAGTCAAACACTTATTCTGTATCCCTATTAATATTTAAACTTAAAATGAAAAAAAATGAAAAGAAAAACAAAGGCAGGACCTTCCCCCCAAAAAAGTGTGAAGAAAAATTAGTAAAATTTTAAAAACAGAAATTTTGCATGTGACAGTCTTTGTCATGATATGAAGCTAATTATTAGTCTTCAACTACATTAGCACCTTCTTTTGGTAACATTGTGTACATAAAAATGATATTCCTTTTTGTCTGAAAAGTTGGAATCATGATTATAAGTCTTCTATCTATAGTGTTTTATATTGACTAACTAAAGTATTATTATTTAACAGCCATTGAACTATGAAGCCATTCGCCAAGTTATTTTGCAAATTGGTGTAGTTAACGAAGCACAGTTCTCCAAAGTACCAAACTCACAACCTCCTTCTATGTGCACGACAACTGTCACTGTTAAAGTTAAAGACAGCGATGAGGGCCCTGAATGCCAACCACCCGTAAAAGTCATTCAGAGTAAAGATGGCCTCCCAGCTGGCCAAGAACTCCTTGGATACAAAGCCATGGATCCAGAAACACGCAGCAGCGAAGGCTTAAGGTAATGCATTTTTCAAAAAGCTCCTTATTTTGAATTGTGATGTCAATTGACTTCAAATTTAGGAAAGTTCTATATATTTTTCAAAATGACAGGTTTTGAGATGATGTCCGTTTTTGGTTTGAGCATTTACATTTGATTTCTTAAAATTAGGTATAAGAAGTTAGGAGATGAAGATAACTGGTTTGAAATTAACGAAAACACTGGTGACTTGAAAACTGTAAAAGTGCTAGATAGAGAATCAAAATTTGTGAAAAACGACCAATACAATGTTTCTGTGGTTGCAACCGATGCAGGTAGGTGCAATTTTATAGAAATAAAATATAAACATAGGATATGGTTTAAAGAAAATCTTGGGGGGAAAACTTGCTTATTTCCAGATCAAAATTTATTGCAAAAAATGTTTGCATTATGATTGCATTGCTTTTTGGAGACCACCCAATTTAGGCCCCCAGTGCATTGATAAGGCAAAGCCGGATGTGGGAGTCCAAAGTTCAAGTTCAATATTACTGACCTCTGCCTTGGACATGGGGCTTCCTCAAGGACTGCCACTTTTTTCCAGAATTATAGATTGGGATTACTATGTCTTTTAAAAAATATATGTTTTTATTGATTTCAGAGAGGAAGGGAGAGGGAGAGATAGAAACATCAATGATGGGAGAGAATCATTGATGGGCTGCCTCCTGCACGATCAGGGATGGAGCCCACAACCTGGCCCTGTGCTCTGACCGGGAATCGAACCATGACCTCCTGGTTCCTAGGTTGACTCTCAACCACTGAGCCACCACGTCCAGGCTAGATTACTATGTCTTGATCAGGCTGAAAAGGTTCAAACCACTTAAAACAGTTGGGTTCAGGGCAGGTTTGTTTTTTCCATGAGGAATAAAACTTTTGTCCTATTTCCTAAAGAAATGATCAAGCAATGACTCTCGAACAAGTCTTTTGCTGTAGTTTGCAATCCTTTGCCAGGGTTAGTTCTAGAGCCTGTCTTGTGAAGAAATGTTTTTCAAATGTCATAAAGTAGCCTCTCAAAACCTGTGAGCATATCCTGCAGATGGAAGCCATTCTGAACATGGAACAGTGTTGTGTGGTTAGTGTCTTTACTGGCCATTGGCTTTTCTTTTCGTAATGCAGTGCTGGACTCGAGGTTTGCTTCAAAGATGGCTGTCTGTCTTGAATAAATATGTTGCAGCCAGACTGCTCTCCCCACTCCTCGCTCTTTACATTCCTGTGCTTATGTTTTAAATTCACCAATAATGAGCCTGGGCCCTGACCGGTTTGGATCGGTGGATAGAGCGTTGGCCTGTGGACTCAAGGGTCTCAGGTTTGATTCCTGTCAAGGGCATGTACCTTGGTTGCGGGCACATCCCCAGTGGGAGTGTGCAGGAGGCAGCTGATTGATGTTTCTCTCTCATCGATGTTTCTAGCTCTCTATCCCTCTCCCTTCCTCTCTGTAAAAAATCAATAGAATAGATTAAGAAACGCCAGAGTTCTGGGGAAGGGAAAAGGGGGGGATGGTGCCTGAAAAGCAGACTTTGAGGCTGTGAATGTCCCAAGGACAGAGTCGAAACCAGAGTTGCAGAAAGGTGTGGGGGTATTGCCCAGCCAGTGTGGCTCAGTGGTTGAGTATCGACCTATGAATCAGGAGTCATGGTTGGATTCCCCGTCAGGGCACATGCCTAGGTTGCGGCCTCGATCCCCAGTGTGGGGCGTGCTGGAGGCAGCCGATCATTGATTCTTTCTCATCATTGATGTTTCTACCTCTCCCTCTCCTTTCCTCTCTGATAATAATAAAACAATTTTTTTAAAAAAAGAATGAGCTGTGAGCCCCTAGGATCCCCCTCACCCTGCTCTCAGGCTTCCCTTCCCTCCACCTAACCCCACCTCACCCCACCCCACTGCACCCTGTGAGCCATGTAATTTCTTGTTTTTTAAAAACAAGTAAAAGACTTGTTTCTTTTTCAGAGTTTCCTGAGGGCATTTTGCAACCCTAATGGTGTCCAGTCTGGCCGTAACATTGGTCAGGCAGAGGCTGAGACTGGCTCACCTACCTTTAATGTAGTTCTTTCAACATAGAAAACAAAACAAACAAACAAACAAACAAAAAACTACCAAAGAATGGGGAAACCACTAACTGAGAGACAGAATTAATATTGCCATTATTCCCTATCTTGGGTGAACTGCTGCTCCTGTCTAAGTAAAAGTGAAATCTGACTGGTTCAAAGCCACAACTATGCTGTCAAACAAGAATTTATATCTACTAATTCATTCCACAAATGTTGATTGTCTAGACAAGTTACGATGGAAACTAGAATTCATAA